GAGCTAATATAAAATTTGTGGTACATGAACTAAAAATAGACACAGCCAGGCTAAGATGGAAGTTGGCACTGTAACTTGTAACTATGATCATTACCACAAGACTAATATAATTTTGTGATCATGAGTTAATTGTATATCTTTATTTTATAGGCTCCTTTGGGAATTATTTTCAAGAATGAAAATACAAATGAAGAAATGATTGAAATTCTAAAGCAATTGCAATCATACTTGCCAAAACAGTCAATCGGCAATGAGACCAAATTCGACCCTCAAGTCTTTGCTGGAGATCAGCTTACTGTGGAACGAGCAATAAATGTCATCCAATCTGTGATGAATGGATACACACCAGAAGATCGCCTTGAAGGCATTATTATGCAGCTGGGTGATTGGCATGCCGGACTCAAAATACTTTCAGTGAGTCAACAAATACTTTGAAAGAGTATTATGTACAGTATTAACCTTTTTAAGTTCTAATGTGCTTATTCTGTCTAACACCATTCGATTTTACTTGTCATAGGGAAAGGCTTATCAAGTTCTCTCAGCTAGCTTACTGTATTTCTCTTAATATTTACCTTAACCCATTGAGTGTCAAACTCTTCCCCAAATGAGTAAAATCATATGGCGTTAAACAGAGTAAAATAGTCTGGCATTTGACAGAGTAAAATAATAAAGTGTGGCACATCTGGGTGCATTGTCACTTAAAGGATTAACAGAGCTAGTGCATGTGCAGCTAGCCTGATTAACACATTGAATGGCAGCAATCTCCCCCCCCCCCCCTATTAAATAAAGGGGGATGCAAGGGTTAAGCAACCTAGTTTGGTATATTACTCTACCAAATAAAAAAATTACTTGCCATTGTTATTGCATGGTTAGAACGTTAACTACAAAAGTAGACTGCACCTCATGGCACCTTGGTGTTTGATGATCAATTTCATGATTAATGTCTATTATAGCATACCTTCAAGCATGTTATATCTTTTATTGACAGATGATATATGAGCGTTTCTACTCAGTCAAGTCAGATGGAGACATTTGCACAATGTATTCAGACAGAACATTAATTAATCGTAGAAATGTAGTGAATGATCCAAAGAATGCATATGCTGCAAATCGAGATTTTCTTATACTTGAGGTGAAAGCAAGAGTTATTGCAGCAGCGATGGAAGTTTGGGGATTTCAATCTAAGTCAGGAGCACCAACCAAATTCCCTATTCCAGAAGACCTAGAAGACCAGACCACATCAGAAAAACGAAAATATCTTCATAAAGCTGCAAGCAAGATTGTGGAGAAAATCATCTTTTCTGAAAAAGACACAAAAACCTCATAAGTGGCATCCTGAACATGCAAGATAAAGAAAATGCGATTAAGAATCAGCAGTTGACAAATGATGGCAGATTCCCATGCCGTTTTAGTGGATGTACTCTATCATTTAAGTATGATGGAAAGAGTAGGCGTAAACACGAGCTCACCCATCACCCACCACCTGTGATCCCACATGCACCAGAGCCAACCAATACCACTGCAGAAGAGTCTTCACTTAGCGATGAAAGCTTGATGAAAGATGACATTTATAACTATAACTGTGGTCTTCTTTCACATGGCATGACATTTCTAAACTTTCTTGACGCTGTGAAAGAGGGTGACGGGCGTCGTATAATGAGGCAATATAAGTACCTTCTACTGTACTGCAAAGCTGATAAACACAGTAGCAAGTATGCCCTTGAGTGTCTTTATCAAATGTTTCTAATAAACACTATATTGTCCCCCAGAGATGCTCATAGATACATCTGGAACAGGGGTGTCAATAACCATGGTATGTTGGGGAAAAATATCCCATTGGATCTGGAGGTGGAACACAGCAACCACTACTTGAAACAAGCTGTGAAGAACTTGGGGCCCAATGTGAATCCTGCATCAATTTCTCGAATATGCAAATCTGAGAAATGTACCAGGACAATAATAAACACTTTGCAAGAAAGTGTTAAGAAAGGCTTCAAATCTGGCAAACACACGAATAAAAACGATGATGAAGATTTAAAAACAATTGTTGATAAGCTCGTGGAACATCATGCATTTGTGAAGCAAAATGCTCGTACATATCATAGTTTCAACAATATTGATAGAAACCCGCTATTGGGCCTTGATATATCAATGGTTTACAAGTGGATCAATGAGCACAAAGAAAATATAAAGAAGAACACAAAAGCAAGATAAACTGAAAATAATAAATCTTACTAATTGTGGTTGTCTTCCACACTCATTCAACCATTGTGGGTGCATGGGGGAAGGACATTCAGGTATTCGGTAATCTGATTTTTGCCTTTTTCATATTCTATAATATAGCATGTAATATATAACACATGCTCTGATTGGTTGAAACCAGCTGTGTTTTGGATCAGACCATCCAAACACGGAAGACTAAAATGTTGTTGTTATTTTATAAAACAATTACTTTATGGTTTCTGTGTTTGGATGGCCTGATCCATACACACGGGAATGTTGCAAGAGTTAAGAAAAGCGAGCAAAATTACGAGCCGAAGGCGAGTATATTACAGTACAATTAGTCATTTTTGAAAGACTGTGGTTTGTTTCTGAAGCCTTGTAATAAACAATTTAACGTCCGAAGTTTTTTGTTCATTAATTTAACAAAATTTACCAAATATTGTAGATTCTCAGGTACCTTTGAATGCCCCTCTCCCATATACATATTATTTGCAATACTGACATGTTAACAAGTATTAAAAAGAAAGTAATAGTATACCGTAGTATAACACCACAACATACCTATTAATTGCCGGATAAAACAATGTAACCACTGATTAAATCCATTTGTTCTTAACTGTATACAGTTTTACGTTTATGGTTTCAATTAGAAAGATTCTTCAATGTTTTCATTAGAGTCATTGTCATTCAAATGGGAAATGGATAGGTTTTCCAGAGCCATGTTTAAAAGATCAGAATCGTCAAGAAAGCATGCCCATTCGTCATTTATATCTTCTTCATCAACATTGTCATCATCATCATCAAATGTAGGTATTAATAAATTACATGCACCAGTTATACAAGTATCTTCATTGATATCAAAAACGTTACAAAGCATCAAGTAGATGGAATGTGCATGGTTATGATGCCAAATTTCAACAAATTTGTAAACATCATCAACGGAAAAAATAGACCCACAATGTTCTAACACTTGATTCATTTGAACTTGCCCAAAGCCAATCACCATTTGTGGAGGAATATGTAAATGCTTCACGGAATGCTGCATATTTAGAGCTTGATGATGTTCCCCTAAATCAATATTAAACCACATATTAGTCTTGCTAGCTTCGTCTGTATTTTATAATGGCAGACAATTTTACTTGTCATTAATAAGATTCTTGAACATAAACAAGTCAACCATTAGTCATTAATGAATGTATTCAGTTGGACAAAAGCTAATTACATGCAGTGGCAGTCTCAGTTTTTACTATAAAGCACCAGTATATTGATTACAAGGAACGAACTTGGCCAGGGATAAAATGTCAACTGCTAAAATACCAATGACCCCATCATAATTTATCATTTTATTTTCAATTGTTATTAGTACTTATTAACCATTTACAGTATTTATTTGGTATTGTTTTAACAGGACTAAAACATTTAATAGACGATACACCCCCCCCCCCCCCCATTAGCAATTTCTTAGGGTTGACACAGAGGGTTTGAGGCTAATGAAGGTTCATATTTACTGAGGACGAGCCCTGTCAAGTTTTTTTGTGAATGGTAATATATAAAATATTTTATATCCTCCCCTTCACAAAAAAAAAACTTGATAGGGCTCATGGAGTTAAGAGTAGAAAATGCAATTTTTTCTTAGGGCCTCTTAGGGGTTGGGTATATGAGTATAATACCCAAACTGCAAGATTATTAATAATGGTAGTATTTAAAAAATAGAAATCAGAGGGTTGGGATGTGTATATTGACAATAATGGCTCATATATACTGTATAATATTGTTAGTACGACATTCAATGCCAATAGATAATATGAGGCAACGTATAAAAAGACAAATTCAAGACATACAATACATACCATTGTTTAATCACATGCGCTTCATCAATAGCCACAGCACAAACCATTTTGCTGTACACTTTGTTGGAAAGCATTCTTCTCCATCGTTCGGTCTTCAATAATGCCTCTGGTGTGCCATATACTACAGAAAATTTCCCTTCTTGCAATGCCTTCTCTTCTTCGTCGCTCTCGATTTCACTTAAACGACACAGCACTGACTCCTAAATCGCGTAGCTTCTTTACTTGGTCTCGCATCAAATTAATCAAAGGCGAAACCACGATAACTACATGTTTACCACCAAATTTTTCATCGAATAGCTTAGGTAACGCTTGATAAATGAGTGATTTTCCTGCGCCAGTTGGGAGATTAACAAAAACATCCTTCCTTTCGTTTATGATAGAATGAATAGCCTTTTTCTGATGAACAGTAAAACTTTCAACTTTAAAAATATTGCAGATTTGTTGATAATGGCCTTCCATTTATCTTGCCGTGTGTTGGGTTTTCCATGTGAAGGTCATTGAAGGTCGATCTTCCAATTATCGTGTAGATAATTGTGATTGGTCAATTGCCGGGAAGTCAAACGCATAGCGAATGTGAGCAGACGTTAGGTGAGGCCTCGGGCCACCAACATCGTCTGCGCAGGAGGCTACTCCTAAATCAACTGACGTCACTTTCCAGAATTTGGAAGGTAAATTCTTCTGATTGGTCGACGTAGCGGAATTCAGTTTGGCGCTCGGGTAAGCAGACGGTATAGAGAGTAGAGAGTTTTAGATTCACGTTTACGGCAAACGTCAAACCGCTAACGAAGTTTTTGATTTTACAAGTCTATTATAACAGCTTTTACACCAGTTTTGAAATATAAACAATTATTAAACTTGTGCTCTTTAGCAATGATTTAAAAGAAAGCAAATTAACCACTAGTCACGTATTCGCGAAAGCAGTAAATTATGATTTGGCGTTTGAAGTTTACGTCTGGCGTATAAATTTCATGCTTTAACGTTCGTCGCTTGGCGTAAGAACTACAACGTCTGTGAGCAGGCTAAACATAGCCTTGAAGGTGCCATTAAAATGATAATTGGGACAAAAACTGACTTATTTCTATATATGAAATTGTTATTAAATTCTACATGTCCGATGATTCATTCAAGTATTATTATTGTTTGCATATGATATTGTTCAGTATTCAGTAGCAAGATAGCCAAGGCAACTGGTCATGCATGCTATGCTAATAAACCTATAATACAAATAATTAAAACTTGCATAGCATGACCTGTTGCTATGGCTAGCTTCACCACTGACAGTGACAATTATACATGATCATACAAAAGCAAGAAGTTATTAGCATTGAAAGTATTCATATAAAATCACCCATGCCAACAAAGTAGAAATAGAATATTTACCTGACCTCCGACATTGTGCAAGGTGTTGGTATTCAAAATACATTTTTCCTACCCCATGAACAGGTCTTAGGGGCTGTTTACATGATGGAAGGTGCGATGATTTTGAGTATTGAAATAAGTCACTAGGCTAAATGAAAGTTCAAAAGCTGGTTAACAGAACTGAAATGTTGTAGACCATGACTTATTTCAATACATCGAAATTTTAATCGCCCTGCCTCGTATCTCATCCTGGCAAAGCAGGATAATATAAACAGCCCCTTTTTCAGCAAATTGCACATGATTAATTGCACGTGATTAATTGCTTTTTCTTTGATCCATTGGGGATGAGGCAGCACTTTCCTTGCGATTCCTAACTTCTAGTCATAATTATTATTAAGTAGGAATAAATCTTAGCTTTGCTATGACAAGTTCGTGATTTACAACATTCGCGTCCGTGTTGTATCGGATATACAAACTCTCGCCTTCGGCTCGAGTTTGTATATCTGATACAACACGGCCGCTAATGTTGTAAATAGTACTGATTTAAGCAAATACCTCCTTTAATTAAACGGGCACATTTGTGATGTGCCAAACGTGTTCGTCTAGTTAATTGGGGCTCAAATATAGCTTAAAAACGTAAACTGGTACCTGTTATTGTAGAATCATTCGCAATTTTCCGAGAAGTGTTTACAAGAAACACAGCTCTGAGCAAAGTCTTGTTTTCTTTCTGCCAAAACGCCTGGCCGTTGCGAAATACTTTGAAAAACTTAAACATGTTGTAATGTAACTGGCTGTCGTAGTGTCGTATACAGCTGATTGACAGTACTCAATAGAAGTCCTTATGGGAAGGTATACGTGTCAAACCAGAGGAGGAGTGGTCACTATACCACAATGCATCGCTTCTCATTAATATTCGGAATTATATTTTGCGAGTCTTTGAAAGATGTTTGTCGAAAAATTGTGGTTGTTTATCGCGATTTTTTACGCTGAAAATTTTGATTTTTGGAAGGTACGTTTTCATAATTGTTTTATTTGTGACCTTAATTGTACGATTTTTGTTTTATGTGGTTGTCGTATCATGTTTCAGTTATGTTAATCACGCATTGAATTACCCTTGGTTTCGGGTCAGTGCACATGTCACAAAAGTGGCTTTGATATTCGCCGGGGATTAAATGCTTTTTAAATCAGGAAATTCAACAACATTTACAGCATCGAATGCAGGAAGGGTTATTCTTTCTATTGATACTTCAAAACACAAAAAATCCCCTCGAACTGACGAGTTATCGCGGTTTGAAAATGGGGTATATTTCGGTGCTATAAAAGAAATGGCATTGATATACGCCAGGGGTTAAATAGTTTATAAATCGGGAAATTCAGCAAAATTCACATCATTGAATTCGGAAAGGTCAAGGTTTTAGCTGATACTTTAAAACATTAACAATCTCCTCCAACCGACGAGTTATCGCGGTTTGAAAATGGGGTATATTTCGGGTATAGTGCACACGACACGAAAACGGCTTTGATATATTCAGGGGGCTAAATGGTTTATAAATCGGTAAATTCAATAAAATTCACATCATTGTATTCAGTAAGGGTTACTCTTTCTCTTGGTACTTTAAAACATAAAAAGGCCCCTGAAACCGACGAGTAATCGTTGTTTGAAAATGGGGTATTTTGCTTTTGTTGTCGCCAATCGCGGGAAAAGAGGACTCTACAGGAAATATGGCGCGAGCGCGACGTAAACAAGCCAGCTTTTCTAACATATTGTTCCTGATTGTATCATTTTTTTATAGAATTCGAGTTTATTAATTGGAGCAAAAAATGGAATCTATTAATGATGGCGATGTTGTCATTGTTGATCATGATTTAGAAAATGAGGAAACTCAAATTACTGATACGCCAGAAAAACCAACAAGAAAAAGCCATGTGGTTTCTAGTAGGCTCCTAGCCCATTTCTTATATATATCTATTCCTTGTAAATGTAATATTTTGGGCAAAAAATATTTAAAAAAAAAACAAACCCAAAAAAACCCCAAAAAAACCTGAAGACTATATCTCGTGTGGAAAGTTCATTCAGTCCAGCTTTGGTTCATATAATGGGCCATTCCATTTAATATAGGCACACCCCCCCCCCCCTGTTGAGGGGTCCCTTCAACCTATTGAGGGGTCCCTTTATAGAACCCCCTTGGATGTGATTTTTGGAAGTTACCCCATGGATATCTTCATATACCCCCTTTAGGATATCGTTTTTGGGTATCACTAAAACACCTAATTTTTGCTATTTTTTTGAAAATTTCTTAACCCTCTAGGAAAATTTAAGGTAAAAACCCCCTCTCCCCCCCCCATAGGATATCCAGACCCCTCAACAGGGAGGGGGAGGCAGCTTATATTAAATTGAATGGCCCATTCAAAGTCCTGGCACATCAGCGAAGGTATAATAAAAACAATTATGGTAGACGAAATTGTACTTAAAACTTTGTTATTCTTTGTATTCTATTCTTTAAAATATTGTCTTTGTATACAGGGATGGATCCAGCATGATCTGGTAGGAGGGGGGGGGGGTGCTCTGGTGCCGACTACCAAGTTGTGTTGGTCATGTGTGCCGCCCGCCCATGAACTACTGTATTTGAATTGTAATTGTTGTTCACAGTTCACTAGGGCTAGGGGGGGGGGGCACCCCCCAGTAAATCCATCCCTGTTTGTATATTCAGTGTAACACCTCTGTGTAACATTATTCTGCAGTGTATAAACATTATTCATGTATGATTATTCATATGTCATCTGTGACTCAATTTCCATTTTAGTAAATGACATACTTTTTTGTAGTTTCCTAGCAGAAAGATAAGGCTGACTCCTTCACAGAAGTCACCAGTGAAAAAACATAACTGGACCTTTGAGGAAAATAAAGCTTTGATCTAGTTATGGAAAAATTTTGTCCATAATAAAATATAATAACAACAATTTACAATATCCTAGTAATCTATGTCACTGTTATAATCGTAGGGATCCATAATAAAATATGTAGGGTCCATAATAAAATAAAATCAAATCAATTTACAATATACTTCTTGTGTGTGTTGGTGTTATGTACTCAGGTGAATATGATGTTTGTGATGTTACTCTGAGTGTGGACTAATATCCCAAAGATCGCAGGTTCGATTCCCACCGTGGTCAGGCAAACTTTTCAGCTTGCCCGATGTGCATGCACACTCAGAATAACATCACAAACATCAATTTACAATGTAGGGATCCATAATAAATTAAATATGTTGGGATCCATAATAAATAAAATAATTTAAAAATATTCTAGTAATCTATGTCACTGTTATAATTGTTTCTTGGGTCATCTCTGTCCCATGGTCCACTTTTCACAATCAACAATGCTGTACTGTGGAGTAATATCCACCAAGCACACATAATTTATTGGTTGTAGATCACAGTTACATCCAGTTTGCCCTTGTAAATTTATTGGTTGTAGATCACAGTTACATACAGTTTGCCCTTGTAAATTTATTGGTTGTAGATCACAGTTACATCCAGTTTGCCCTTGTAAATTTATTGGTTGTAGATCACAGTTACATCCAGTTTGCCCTTGTAAATTTATTGGTTGTAGATCACAGTTACATCCAGTTTGCCCTTGTAAATTTATTGGTTGTAGATCAGTTACATCCAGTTTGCCCTTGTAAATTTATTGGTGACAGCACACTGTCCAACTCTTCATTAACAGTATCTGGATCTCGAGGTTGAATTGTTTGAGAAGGTGGGGATGGCAGAATATTGAAATCCCACAAAACAACATTCTCAAAGATAAAAGATTGTCCTGTTCCATCTTGCCCGAGATCACTGAGGTCAGAGAACTGCAACATATGAAAACAATATTCAGTTTAACAAAGTACAATATTAAAGTAGGGCACATGTGGGGACAGTGTGACTCAATGGGTTAACTAGACACATGGGCAGATAGGCCAGCTGCCATTAGACAGAGTAAAACAATCTGGCATGAGACAGAGTAAAATAATAAATGGTGCAATTATTAATGTGACTCATTTTAATAGTAATAAAATACCAAAGTAATCAAACCTCTATGATCAAACCAAATGAACAGTCTAAGCTTCTCTAACTTAAACTATTTTAGCTCTATATATGCTTATATTCAAAATGGAAAGCACAAATATTGACATATTGTTACCAACATTGGCTATAAAAATCTGAATCATAAAAAAAACATTGTGTAGGTACATTGCCTTTGTATTCGCTTTAACGATTAAAGCAAACGACTTACCCTAAAAGCACAACTGGAATGTATCTCTATCAATGCTGGGCTATTGCAATCGGCGAATGTTTCATCAACTTTTAGAGACAAATAGACAATTAAAATAGCGATTCTTCTGATATGCAAATTATCCAGAAAACTGATGTGAATCTCACGGCATTCAAAACTGAACACACGATAACCCATGGGAACCAACAGCGTAGGCTCTGACGATACACAATGAACAAAAAGAAGATCGTGCCCTTCCAAAACTGAAGCTTTATGGCGGTGGTCGGCTTTACAAAATCCGCCATATACTAATCTCACTCCTGTTGTTTTGACAGTGAAGGTCAAGCGAACAATGAGCGCCCGCTCGTGGAAAATCAATAATATATAATTATTTGGAATAATCGCAATGCATCACGGTATAGTGACCACTCCTCCTCTGGTGTCAAACAATGAACATTTGACCCACGTGTATCCCACATTGCATTGCGTTGCGGTCAAGACCCAGCCGGCAAAACAACGTCGATTCAACGTCAAACAACGTCATACCAGACGTGTAATAGACGTTGAAAAAAAGTAGAAAATGTCTACACTATAGATCAACGTTGAAATGATGTGATGTCCAGACGTCATTTAGACGTGCTGAATTAAAAGATTAAGACAGGTTGAAAGTGCAAAACATTGACAAAACAAAGCTTATTCTCATCCGGTCACAGAGGAGGTTGGACAGCTAATTAGCGAGTTGTCACGTGAGCTCTCGACCAATGAGATCGCTCTATTTTCCATCGTGTTGGCGAATAATTTTGGCATTCTAATTTGCATTGGACACAGAAGAACTCAAAAAATATATATAAATATTCATATTTTTCTATCAAAATGCAACCATGGCCTTAGTATTATAAAAGGACTGGCGATATGTGCAAGAATTTCTGAGGTAAACGTTATTTTTTAACCTGTTTTCGATGATTAAAGTTGGTCATGCCTTGGCAACGTGATGACTCAAGTCCGAGTCTGTTTACAATTTTCAAACTAAAAAATCTGGAATTCCCACGGTTCGATTTTCGTAATTTTTGCAAAAAAGTCAAGACAAATGTCTAAACTAAAAATCTGCTGGAGGGATCCCCGGGATCCCCCGGCAGTTTTCGAGATATTTGGCATTGAAGTGACCATACTCAATTCAACCTTTGCCAAAATGGCGTCTAATATCTGGGGAAGATATTGCGCCACCAAAGCTTGATTTTCACAATGAATTTTGAAAGTCCCCCAATATTAGGATAATTTTTCTTTACAGTAAGTGTTAAATTACTTTTGAAAGGCTATTTAGAAGACTTAGGAGTTATTTGCCTGTTTTTACAGATTTTATATCTGGGCTGGTATTACTAGCCTGCATGCCCATCTCCTTGACATGCATGCCTATCTCCTTGGCAAGTGAAATTGTCCGGTGATAGAGACGATTTTAAAAGAACAGCACATTATAAAGTGATCAGATTTTCTCTCAGTGAAAAATTCTATGTTCCTTTTTAATTACAGCAGTTCAGATGTCGATATAGAATTGAAAAAGGGCTTCTTCCTGAACATCCAAGGGCAGGGCCAACTGACGATGTTGAAGAATGAAGACATTTTAGCATGGATTACTAGTATAGATTATAGTATCTCTTGTCCTTTATGATGTCTTTCTGAAAGTTATTGGTGAATACAAATTGAGCTGTGATCCCTCAACGTGGCCAACAACATGCTCCACCAAATACCCGAGCACAATATAGAAAGTGCACATACATGCAGGGATGGATTTACTGGGAGGGTGTGGGGTGTGTACCTCCCTAGCCCTGGCCAGAGGGGGTGCAGGAGGGTGCTATTTTTTATGATAAAGCAAAAAAGACAAAATGAGATACAATAATTTGAGTAATAACATGATGATAAGTGAACTGTGAACAATTACAATTCAAATACAGCAGTTGATGGGTGGGCGGCACACATGACCGACACAATTCGGCAGTTGGCACCAGAGCACCCCCCTACCAGATCATGCTGGATCCATCCCTGCATACATGTACTGTATCATATTTAATTAATGCTTGAGCATATTTGTTCAAATTTATTGACATTAATAATTAAATTATGTTTGTTATAGTAGTGTACATTTTGCACCAGCCACTCTTGAAATTAGATGTCAGCCACTTTTTAACTAGATGGCCATGGATGACCTAAGAAATTGTTTTCTTTATTAAACAGCAACTTGCAAGCTTTGTGATATTTCTTGAATACCTCAAAAGTTGTCAGCTGCTGTTTACATTATCTACTTCATATGTTTCGATAATTTTTGTTGAAAAGATGCTGAATTGTCAGCATGTGACAATTCATGTGACAAGCACCATGTAAGTTGCCACACATCACCCACAGTATTTTTTGGACAAGCCAGGTTTAACACCTTGGCTGGTACAGTTATTGTATATACCTGTAGTATAATTCACCATGTTTGGTTTTTTAGTATGCATGAACACTATTAAGTTAAAGGAGGAAGCATTTATAATGCAGGTACATTATTTGATAATTCTGAAGACCATCCAGAGTCAACAGGTGTATATAGAAACAAGTAAATAGAGACCCATATTTTGACTGGAAATAAGAACCATTTAAATTCAACTCAGCCCGATTTTCACAGAACCAACTTTAAAACGAACTGCAGTCAAACTTTGCAACATACATTCCGAACTTACAAATAAACATTGGTGGTCAGATTTCAAAGACAAATTGACAGTAAGATGTAATGTTATTGTTGGGGATGGGTTGGTGCTTTAGGGGTTGGTGCTTTAGGGTTTAGGCTCAATTCCTGCAGAAGGGTTACATAAAGTCACAGCAATTTGAAAATTAATTACATGGCTTGACAAAATAAATTCTATTCAGTCACGAAATAGGTAGATGCATTTATTTATAGCACATGTTTTTTTAAGTTTAGATCGATATAGGTAATGAGAACCATATTGGTGTCCTACACAATAAAAAAGCAATATTGCTATTTTGAGGGAGTTGCACAAGTGCACATGACAGATATTGTTTTCTTATAGATACACACCTACTTAAATTAAATGATTTTTCATTTTTGTTTGGCAATAAAGTGAAAGGTAAAAATGCTGAAAAAATCTAAAAAGTTAGCCAATTTAAATAACATCATTTCTATAACTTGCTAAACCTAGTCAGTTACTATTATATCACAAACATCTGTCGACATACACTCATGCCCCTCCTTACCACTTGAGTTCCCACTCACCACATCCCTTTATGAAAAATTTTGGATAAAATCCTATTTTAAAAAAGTCAACCCTATACTTTATATGCTGAACATAGACCTCTAAGATATCTCATGCAGCAATTAGTGGGTGCAAATAATATAGCCAACATCACATGTGTCCATCCAGTTCCATAGTCTACATCAATTGCTATTGCACTTTGGTCCATTGGATTCAATGGCTTTGGACATATTCTTACATTCACTGGTTTATGCCTGTTACAAATGATCTTGGTAATGTTTCTCATGAACAGCACCAATGCACTTGAATGGCACAGCATGGGTGATTTCGTCCTCGTCACTTTCATCCTGATCACTTAACTGGTCACCACTTTCTGCCCTATAATGACCATATCCATGCTGACCAGGTTCAAGACCAGCCAACCACTGAACCACTCAAGTAGATCTCTTTCTACAAAATCATAACAAGAAAATTTTTATTTTATTATTTTATACATACACTGTAATCTCTAAAATTAGCAATCTAATGCAAAAGTGTGTCACTATTTACAGTAATATTAGAACAACACACAAATATTATTTTACAGATGAAAATTGAAAAATATACTATACTGTATGCACATATATGTAAAAATCTATCCATACAAACAGGCATCATACTTCAGCAAAAATGTATTAAACAATTCGTTTAACTCAAAACATGTACATATGTATCACAGTGACACAGTACATATACACACACTATAGGGTCAAACTAGAGGCATTGTAAACACAAGTATGACGCCATAATTTTGTACAGTGTATTTATATTAAAAGTACAAGAATAAAAACAACAAAGCGGAAATTTGACTATAAAATAACACGATAACTGTAATGCATTGTAGTATACCAACCTTAAATACTGCGCTTGTTTTCACTTTGATGATACACAGAGATTTAACGCCATCCAACTTAGAAAGAAGAGCCTCGCTATTGGGAATATAAATTAAACACAATTCCTTTTCTCAGACGGATTATTTGTAAAGCTAAAATGACAACACGTCCCATGCAATTTAAAAAAAGGTAAACTTGATATAGTAAAACACAAGTCATAATGATGATCGCAACAATACAGCAATAACATGCTGTTTTCACAAAATATCGCAGCCTGACATTCTTGTCGTTCGAAAGCTTCCATATTGGTTTTGTAGTCAGAGAGATGTTCACTCCTCGACAGTCAACAGTCAATGAAAGCCACGCGTGGAATTAGGCGCTCAATACCCATGATGCTTTGCGGCCTGCTGTCCAACCTCCTCTGATATACATCCTTTTCATAAATGGCTGCCGATTAAAAATTCTTTTATGTGCATATAAATTGGCCCAACTAGCCTCGTACTCATGTTAAGATTTCAAAGGAATTTCTACCCAGAAACGAGGCTAGTTGGGCCAATTTATATGCACATAAAAGAATTTTTAATCGGCAGCCATTTATGAAAAGGGTGTATTACATATTTCGACTTTGGAGAGGAGAAAATTTAAAATATCTCGGCAAGTATTTACCCCTTTAAAACGAAAAGCACCGTTGAATTCCTCATAAAATAACCTTTCGAACGGGGGGTCAAATGCCGTCATAACATTACACACAAAACCAAAACATCGTATATTTATTCGCCGCTTGGCCAAAATTTTGTAGTTCATATATATCGAGAAACTCTTCAGCATTCGCCCAAGTCAATAGCAGTGAAATATTCCTTGTTTACAAGCGCTTTTATGTAGAAAGTTCGTTTGAATACAACAAGTAGAAATATTTATTTCGAATTTTTCAAAATATCGGGTTTTTACTTGCACGCGCGTGCCACACGCCAAAGTTGGCCAATAAAGAGCAGGGGGCTTGATGACTTATTAGATAGCTTAAGATCTACGACGTCGACGTCAGCTAGGACGTCAGGGCTATGCAGAGGACTGGGACTAGAATGTCGTCCTAATGTAGTCCCAGTCCTCTGCTTAGCCCTGACGTCCTAGCTAACGTCGACGTCGTAGATCTTAAGCTATCTAATATTATTTCCCGAGTGATGGGATGTAAACATCGCATTGTTTCGGATATTTGAACTCGAACTTCCGGTCAAAGCTCTCGCGTAAAATTTAGGTATTTTGAAATACCGAAATAAAACATGCAAATCTGCAGATACAAGCTTGAAAATAACACTCTAAATAGTGTGTTGGATTGTGTTTCAAACAAGACTAATACCAAAAAGATACGTTGAAAGGGGCCGAAGTTATATTCGGCGAAAGGTATGCCTTAGTACCTGATGCATTGTTTACATTCTTCGAGTATATATTGTATACAGGGTGTCTCAAAAAAAAACAAAATCATTGAAATAACGTATTGTTCGAATTTCAATGCCGTAACACAAAGGATTTTGACAGGGTGATTAATTTGTTTTAAAAAATTAAAATATCTTTGTAAAGTGAACGTTTGTTTGCTCATGGGAATTTAAAATGCTTCGTAAATTGTAATATGCGTAATATGCATTCGTGGGTTTAGTACTTTATGCCTGACATAACAAGTTTACGCTGAGTATTACCATTCATTATAGCAGTTATGTCAATCTTTTATGCACTCGTGGGATTAACTTAGTGCTAGGGCATTGAATATCGAACAATACGTCAATTTCAATGATTTCGGGGTTTTTTGAGACACCCTGTATAGTATGGTATGGTTAGTTACATTGTTCGAGTATGCCTAGTTTATATTTTATGGCTATTTTACATTGTTCGATTTCATAGAACTTTTCAAGTGGAATTTTTGGTGTTATTTTCGTAATTCTACTGCAAATACTCGCGGAGTTCTGTGGTATTTAAACGTCATATGTTCGTTTCTCAGGAGACTTTGAAACGTCACACATAGTTACCGATATTTTTTTCTTATAGTACACGTAAGGTAGTTTTCTACTATTTTCTACGGTGTTGGCTATTGCCTATTGGCGATGCTTCCGCGAGGGATAAGTCATCTGCTCGCATATGTTCCTTTATTAATATATGAACTTCAAAATTTCCATTGTTTCTCAAAACACTTTTTTGCTTGAGATATTGACAATTTAGCGCGTTTTTCTTGAAATTTGTGACGTGCCAAAAGTGTTCGTCTAGTTAATTGGGGCTCAAATATAGCTTAAAAACGTAAACTGATACCTGTTATTGTAGAATCATTCGCAATTTTCCGAGAAGTGTTTACAAGAAATACAGCTCTGAGCAAAGTCTTGTTTTCTTTCTGCAAAAACGCCTGGCTGTTGCGAAATACTTTGAAAAACTTAAACATGTTGTAATGTGGACTGGCTGTCGTATACAGCTGATTGACAATAGAAGTCCTTATGGGTAGGTCCGATCCGTGTCAAACAATGAACATTTGACCCACGACCACGTGTAGCCCACATTGCATTGCGTTGCGGTCAAGACCCAGCCGGCAAAACAACGTCGATTCAACGTTAAAACAACGTCATACCAGACGTGGAATAGACGTTGAAAAAAGGTTGAAAATGCAAATTGGATCGACGCTACTCTCCTGACGTTGATTAAACGTCTACACTATAGATCAACGTTGAAATGACGTCATATCCAGACGTCATTTAGACGGGCTGAATTAAAACAGGTTGAAAATGCAAAACATTGACAAAACAAAGCTTAAGAAGGGCAACATGATTCAGCATGGAGTCAAGGGAAGCCTCACATATCGATTATGTCCACCAGAAACGTGATATGTTCGTTTCTCTGGAGTCCCCCCTCCCCCCTTAGAAACGTCACACATAGTTACCGATACTTTTTTTTTATAGTACACATAAAGGTAATTTTCTACTATTTTCTACGGTGTTGGCTAAATATTGGCGATGCTTCCGCGAGGAATAAGTCATCTGCTGGGTTTTTTTTTAATATATGAACTTCAAAATTTCCAGTGTTTCTCAAAACAATTTTTTGCTTGAGATATTGACAATTTTAGTGCGTTTTCCTTGAAATTTGAGTGTTTTCAATGCAAGGAAGGCGTAATAATATAAATGTATAGAACAGGTATGGTATTACGAATGTATAGACTGGTGTTTGTATCAAGTTGTTTTCTTTCAGTTATATTCTGCAAAGATGATTCCGAAATGTTAAAAAAACTGGCTTTTCCATGTTTTGCAGAGAAACGTACGTCATAGCTGCAACCCTCCCTCCCCCCCCAAACGAACATATGTGAGGCTTCCCTAAGGTGCGGATGTTCTCGGGGCTATTGAAACCATTAGCTATTACTATAGAACACAGCTACAAAGTTTAAAAAATGGAATCATGGACATGCTAAACGTTGTCTACAAAGCTATTTTCATATTTCCACCGGGTTAATAATAGGGAGTTTGGCAACCTATAGAACGGCAATGACAACGGCAACGACAACGACAACGACAACGGATTGCTTATATTGTTCGGTATTTGAGCCAATGTATACGTTCCTACACTTAATTTTTAGCGAAGAAAGCCAATAAAATGCTGATTTCGAAAATCTTCATTTGATGGGTGTTCTGTTAAACATGTCCAGTATTGGCTGACTAAAGAAATACATAGGTATCTCATAAAAAAAATCAAAATATGTTTATAGTTTACCTCAACGTTTGTCTACATATATCGATTTGAATCTTCATAGGTACGGTAAAAAAAACGTGTGCGGAAAATTTCTCTTCTTCAATGGTTTTTCTGATATGACGTTTTTTTTGACAACTTCGTGAATTATCAGTGACAAATCCAAGAATCAGGGCATATCAGAAAAACCACTAAAGAAGAGAAATTTTCCGCATACGTTTTTTTACCATGCCTATGAAGATTCGAATTGCGATATCTAGACAAACGTTGAGGTAAACTATAAACATATTTTGATTTTTTTATGAAGATACCGACATATTTACTCAGTCAGCCAATACTAAAAATGTTTAAACAGACCACCCATCAAATGAATATTTTCGAAATCAGCATTTTCCTAGCTTTCTTCACTGAAAAGTTGCGCAATGTCCAATAGACTAAAACGCACGTTCATCGTGTGAAGTAACCTTAAGTTTTTTAAAGTATTTCGCAACGGCCAGCCGTTTTTGCAGAAAGAAAACAAGACTTTGCTCAGAGCTGTGTTTCTTGTAAACAGTTCTCAGAAAATTGCGAATGATTCTAGAATAACAGCTATCAATTTACATGTTTAAATGTTTAACTTGTGTCATGGTATATTACCAAAAATTGTTTTGGCGTTGTTTACAACATTGAACTAGCTGGGGGAGGAGGAGGAGACAAAGTTTGTTTTGTCAATGTTTATATAGTAACATTGTAATTATGGTTGGAATTTACCTGAAATTCAGGCCCTAATTTAGAATAGGGCCTGACATAAAACCTATGGGCTATTTGGCTAGATTAGCTTTGCTATTCCAAATAGCCTGTGCTTCGATTATCCGTCCAATTATGTAACTATATACTTTTAAACTATGTACTATTGTTGGCACAAATAAATGCTTGAATCTTGTTTGAATCTGGTGGACGGGAAATCTGATTGGTTGATCAGCATCATGAAAGATTTTGATTGGTTGCAAGTTCACATAAACAATATTTTATAAATAGCTCAGTCAATGTAACAAGGTCAAACGCATGTATCAAATTCCATTGTGATTATCGTAATAGTATTGTCGAATTTCTTCGAATTTCTTTTGTTAATATGCTTTATGGCAGAAAATAAATCAAACACACAGTATTTTGAAAGGGCTTTATCAAAATCTTTGACGAAGTTTGGACACACGACGCTGAAAGAACAGCAAAAGTCATGTATTCGAAAGCTTGTTGTTGACAGCCAAGGGCAAGGCCCAAGATGTCTTTGCCATTCTGCCAAATGGCTTCGGCGAAAGTCTTATTTATCAGGTCCTACCGGCGTTGTTTTCTGAGCTATATCGCCTTCGTCATGGTACGATAAAGAATTTCGTTATTGCTGTTGTTACCCCGTTAGAAATTGTATATCCGCGTCCAGCAAGTTGAGACCTTGAGAAAGCTTGGTATTCAAGCCGTTTGTTTAGATCCCTCGTTTAATGATGAAACAAATGACTTTAGCGTATTTTTTGACGCACTTTAATTCCATTGCGGAAAGTAGATCGCAGAGAACAAAACTATTTGCATTCAGTCTAGTGGCGGAAATTAACTTTTTCTGGTGGGGGGCAAAGCCTCCTAAATTTCCGACAAAACTTTCAAATTTCCGACATACCTCAAATTTCCGACAGACATTGCACTCTAAAAGACTGTTTTTAGCCCTCTTTTAGATCAAAATTTC